TAGACAATGGAAGTCCGAACTAGTGAAATTCAATGTTCATAATAGATTTTCATTGAAAAATCAAGTGTTTGGCTCTACATTTGTCACTCGTTCATTCATCAACACATTCCTGACAGAAAATAAACTTCATGAAGTGGGTGTCACTGTCAAAGTACTCATATATTTGTTATTTCCTCAACAATACCCATTCTGCCAGTTAAAAGTTTATCAGGAAATGAAAATATCTGGAAACAAGTACTTTTCCAAATTACCAAAAATACAATACTCTTTTCGACGCGCCTTTCACCAACCAAGTTGGCATCTTCAGGAGATGAAGAAAACTTTCTGAAGACGCCAACTTGGGTGGTTAAAAGAGTGTTGAAAAGAGTATTACATTTCTGGTGATTGGGTAAAGTGATTGTTTTGAATTTTTTCTACGCCAGATGTGTTTCAGTTTTAACGTTTATGAATGAAAATATGTCAGCACGATCACAAACTTTTTCTCCAATAATGCCTTTGAATGAATATTCCAATTCCAATAAATGTTTACAATTTTCACCATGCACTTCCTGGCAACAATGAAGTCTGTTTATAAATGTATTTTCACACTATGAAATATTCTTGCACATGTTGTATCCATGTAGACTATTGATCACTGCATATGAGATCTTGACATTTCATTCTGTTTACGATTTACGACTTTTGAGTGTAAATACGAAATCCGTTTCATTATGAGTTCAGTTTATGTCCAGTTCACGTCCATAGATGTTCAACAGCACTTCCAAAAAAGTCCAGATGAAGCTACTAACGAGTAAGTATGGAAACGCTTAATAAGCTATTGCATTGCAAAACACGTGTTGCGGTTTTGTAAACTGTCTAGCAGAAATCTCACAATAAATTGTCACTTGAGTCAACTATGGATTTTTATCAAATATCGGCAATTTCGAAGTTAGAGCAATTCCGTCACATACAATAATACCTATTTTGCGTTTCATTGACTAATTGCATTTCATTAATATTATCCTTTTCTTATTGTTTTCTTGATATTTCTAAGGCATTTGACCATGTGTGCAAGTGGCCGTCGATGGATATCTCTCGAATACTTTGCTGGTGTTCCCCAGGGATCCATATTGTCTGCAACCCTCTTTTCATTGTATATCAACGATTGGAAAAAAACAAGAATCCAATAAATTGCTTTGCTGAAAACGGCACACTTGTCTCGTCATTCCATTTGGATTCCAGGACATCGGCTACGGAGGCACATCTTCACCGGCAGCAGAAGGTTGCATATCTTAATGAGGATCTAGAAGTGATTTCGAATTGGGATGAAAGTAACTGATACTAACCAGGTTCAATTAAATGCCACAAAAACCTAGGCATCGGTTTTCTCCAACCAGATATAATGATGACATTTGATACCACCTTTACACGGTGCGAGAAAAGACTATTTTGTCGGCAGTTGAATGGACTGTTTCCAATTTTTTCTCCAACTTTTCACTGATTTTAGTCTAATAGTTTTCATTTTTCTGTACAATTCGATAAACCCGTTAAAAATTTTGGAGGACTGACGCAGGTCCGACACATTATTTACACGACATAAAACAGATTACACGAGACAAATCACACTACAAAACTAAATTAGACCCACACTACACAAACTGTTGAACACTATAGAAAACAGTAAAATTTCACAACAACAAAGAGAAAACAGGTCTTACGACACAAATGGCGTCTAAATTCCAACGATATGTCGGAGGGCCTTTCTACATGCAACGACTATTCGCTACGATTTCTAGAAATTGATGAGGATCTGCACCAACTTTCAACCTGACTTCTACTCCGACAAGTCGTGAAGATTTTCTGTTTACTTGTCGGTAACGACAAAACGTTGCAGACAAGTCCTTCTGTCGAACCGTGTAAACCCGTTTCAAGTTGAACTACTAAATATGAAATTTAAGAGAGCGTTTTCATTTAAATTTTGTACTGATATATATACGATTGAATATTATTTTTTTTCACACCATAAAATATTCTTGCACATGTTGTATCCATGTAGACTATTATAGATCATTGCATATGATATCTAGACATTTCATTCTCTTGAGGTGTGTCAAAGGAAATATAGCTATTTACAATTTTTGAGTATGAATACGAAATCCGCTTCATTATGATTTCAGTTTGTCCAGTTCACGTCCATAGATGTTCAACAGCACTTCCAAAAAAGTCCAGATGAAGCTACTAACGGGTAAGTATGGAAACGCTTATTAAGCTATTGCATAGCAAAACACGTGTTGCGGTTTTGTAAACTGTCTAGTAGAAATCTCAATAAAGTGTCACTTGAGTCAACTATGTATTTTTATCAAATATCGGCAATTCCGAAGTCAGAGCAATTCCATCACATACAATTATACCTATTTTGCGTTTCATTTACCAATTGCTGGTACTTTTTTGTCATAGTACTAATATTATCTTATTATTTCTTGATAAGAACTATTATCTTATTGTTTTCTTGATAAGAACTAAGCCGCGCAAAGTTTGGAATTACAGATGAGCTACATGGAAGGATCTTCAAGACCATTTCCGAAATTTCTCCTGGCTGTTTCAGCTCTAATGATCCATCAACTTGTATTTCTGAGGCCACGGAAATTATTCTATCATCCATTAATGCATATATTCCTTTTTCAATGAAACCCTTCAACAACAAACCTTTGTTCGATAAAAATTGCGAACAAGCTGTCGCCTCCAAAAATCACGCCTACCGGCAGTGACACAAACATCCCAGTGCCGAAAACCTAACTAGGTTTGTTAATGCTCGTAACAGCTTCAAATTCAGGATGAATGATAACAAAAAACTTCACAATAGGAGTATTAGGGATAAACTGCTTGCCAATCCCAATGGGTCTAGATTATTCTGGTCGGTAGCCAAAGCTGTTAATGAGAACTTTATAAAATCCACAATTCCACCACTAACACAAGTAGATGGTTCAATTGCAGCAACAGCCATAGAAAAAGCAAATCTGCTAGCTGAACAATTTGTGTCCCACTCCACAGTCGATTTTCTGGAAAAGGCACCACCCACTATTCCCACACTACAATCCACAATACCGGAAATTACTTTTCCATAGCGTCTAGTCAGGCGAATTTTGAAACAGCTCAATATCAACAAGGCGTCTGGACCTGATGAAGTGCCCGTCATCGTTCTTAAAATGCGCAAATGAACTCGCACCGGTATTTTGCAGATTCATCAACCTGTCTTACAACGAAGGGGTTTTTCCTTCTTATTGGAAAATTGCTCGCCCTCAGATGATTCCTAAAACGGGCAAGAAAAATCTTCAAAATAACTATAGACCAGTCACTTTACTATCAGTGATATCAAAAATCATGGAGAAAGTCGTGAACAACCATATCCTCGAATATTTGGAAGACTTCAACATCTTAAGCGATCATCAATATGGCTTTCGGAAACAAAGATCAACAGGTGATCTTGTATCGTATGTCACCCATATTTGGAAAAACGCAATTGAGAAACATGTAGAATCAAGAGCTGTTGCGCTTGATATTTCTAAGGCATTTGACCATGTGTGCAAGTGGCCGTCGATGGATATCTCTCGAATACTTTCACCATCAACGCTGGTGTTTCCCAGGGATCCATATTGTCTGCAACCCTCTTTTTATTGTATATCAACGACTTTTCGAAAAAAACCAAGAATCCAATAAATTTCTTTTCTGACAACAGCACACTTGTCCCGTCATTCCATTTGGATTCCAGGACATCGGCTACGGAGGCACATCTTCACCGGCAGCAGAAGGTTGCATATCTTAATGAGGATATAGAAGTGATTTCGAATTGGGATAAAAGTAACTGATACTAACCAGGTTCAATTAAATGCCACAAAAACCTAGGCATCGGTTTTCTCCAACCAGATATAATGATGACATTTGATACCACCAAGATCGGTACATTTCAGAAATACGCGACGAACTGTGGATGCTCATCGTTCAGAGGTTGAACTCGGTACACCTCGAACTGCACTGTTTAAAAACTATTTCATCTGGTGAACTGCGTTTATGTGGAATGAAATTCCTGAGAACGTTTTTCCATATGAATTCAATCTCCAGCGATTCAAATCCAATGTGAATCGCAACTTTCTCACAGGCACCGATCTGAGACCGCCCTAAGGATTTTTCTGTAGTGTCTGTGTTATGTCTTGAAAGAAAATTAAAAATAAAACAGATTTGTTTACATTATTTTTTATCAAAGTTTTGTTCTTTCCATAGTGTTGATATAAATAGACAACGGTTTCGGGTTCTGATACTCCTCTTCGTAAATGTGCCCGATATCTTCTCGATATTTAATTTCATCATAGATAGGTTCTTCGGAAAACGTTGATCTAGCTACTTCACTTGGTTCAATCACAGAAGCAGCTCTATAGCTTCCAGTTGAAGGTGGATGGTCGTACATGTACTCCCGGCAATCTGAAAGAACAGAAAATATGCAGAACATTCAGTAGAATGGAATCGTTAATAGTGCTGAATACAGAAATATGTTATTAACGGACACATCAATAATTTATATCCGATGCGCTACAAATTATGTGGTGATACTATCCGGAAGTTGCGTTGTTCAAATACAGTGCGGGTCTCTAACATGGAACAAATTCACTAAATTAAAGGTGTTGTTTCTTTCGGAAATATGCTCGGACAGGTCGATTAGTATTTTAAAGTGCCCTTATTCTCATGCAAAAAAAATTATACAGTGTGTCTCAACAATGAGATATGACTTCATCGATAATTTTTTTAAATGACAACCCTGTTTTTTTAATGGCTTTCATTAAAGGGTTCAACAAGTTGCACATGCCTGAAAAATTTCAGTTTTTTACTCCTTGTCGTTTAAAAGATATTTAACAAACATTATCCAATTCAAAAAATGAATTCAATTCAATAGTCTTCCTTCAATAAATGCTTATAATGTCAGGGATACCTGACAGTGACATAAAAAAGTTATCGAAAAAAGTAAGGAGAATAGTATCGCATTCCAATCATATTTGTGCACAAAAACTGTTAGTCGTTTCACAGTTTGTTGTTCGCCATTAGTAAAATGCCGTACTTTACTGAAACACATAAGATTCTAATGATGATTGGCTACGGAGATAGGACAAGAACACAAAATGGAGTTACCCATTTATTCAGAGAGAAGTATCCTGATTTACCACCCATATCGCGAAGTACCGTAAGCAAGATCGAAAAACAGTTCCGGGAAAATGGGCATTTAAGAAAAACAAATGATCATCTGTCGAAGATAATTCATATGTCCCGACTAGGCAGATAGCTGGAGAACTCTAAATTAGCCAGTCTTCAGTGGCAAGAGTTCTTAAAGCTGAAAAATTTCTCCATATAAAATAACAATCCTCCAGGAACTCACCGAAGATGATCCAGATAGAAGACTCCAATTTTGCGAATAAATGATGGATCTACTAGACAGGAATGTTGTACAAAAAGAAAACGTTCTATTTTCTGACGAATCAACGTTTATGTTGAATGGTGTGGTAAATCGTCAAAATTGTTGTTATTGGGTAGATAGAAACCCACACTGGATGAGCGAAGGCCACACTCAACATCCAGAAAAAGTCAATGTTTGAGCAGGGATTGTTGGTGATCGAATTATAGGACCGATTTTCTTCCAAGAAAATCTTACTGGAGCAAGATATTTAGAATTCTTGCAGGAGGACCTAGTTTCGAATTTGGCTATTTTGTTCCCTTGTCCTGTAAAATCTGACGTCCCGAATAGAAACATCTTGTTTTAAAAGGACGGCGCGCCTCCTCATTTCGCAAGACCTGTCCGTGAGTACCTGAATGATGTATTTCCAGGCAGATGGATTGGCAGAAGAGGACTCTATGAATGGCCACCTAGGTCTCCGGATTTAACACCTTTGGACTTTTTCTTATGGGGTTACTTGAAGAGCAAAGTTTTTAAGACCAAACTGGCAAATATTACGTTCAGTTTAGTTTTAGTTTAGTTACCTGACAAGAGATGTCAGAATGTGTTTTCATAGAAATATTAAATGTATCTGTTTTATTATGAAAACATGACAATTGTACAGAAAACATACGTATGATATTTGTGTCAAAAGTATTTTGTTCGTGAAACTTTTCCACTCACGAAATAAAACCTTACTTTTTTAATACTCATATCATAAATAGCTATTTCTGGAAAATGGCCGATAGGATCAAATACTCTTCATATTTGTTTATTAAAGGATAAGTTCTAACTTACAAAACTCACCGCTCATGGGACGATTTGGCATCTTCAAGTTATACAAAATTCGAGTTTCAAATGGTGGTGTCTCTATTACTTCGGTGTGATATCGAATTGGAGTCAAATACAGCGGATTTTCTGTAGTTGGTGTATCTGAAAATTAGATTCATTAAAAATTTCAATTAAATTTTTTTTTGATAGAGTGAATTTTGATAGGTATAATATATGAAATAAAAAAAATTGACCCCGACGTGATTTGAACACGCAACCTTCTGATCTGGAGTCAGACGCGCTACCGTTGCGCCACGGAGTCGATGTCAACTCTGCTTGTGATAATGATATCAAACGTCCAATATATCTGTTTATCCAACATGTCATATTAGTATTTTTGTATATAGATTTTAGTATTGATTGAATACTTTCAAGCCCAAAATTATGAGTGAAGTCAGACAGAAATGTTATCTATCAAAAATAACTCACCTACATACAAAAACATAAACTAGCTCAATGCGGCGGCATCTACTTTCTAATCGTGGAACTGTATGACATAAATACAGTTCATGAATAATTCAGATTACAGATCGCTATATTCTTTATTTGTATTCATTACACGTTTGAACCACTTGTGGATAGATGGCGCCATGAAACAAAACTATTTTTTTGTAATGAGTGAGTATTTAGTAATGAAACAAAATTATCTTTTGTGTTTCAAGGGAGTTTAAATTACGATATTTCCAAAAATTGCTACGAAACTTCCTCAAATATGATGGATTATAATATAATTGGTCTTGGGAATCTAAAAACTTACTATCTATCTACAGATTTTCTGTTTTCCTGTTTTGTAGCAGTACTAACAGTTGTGGGAATAAATGAAATCAGTTTGAAAACGTGTTTTGGTGAGTTGTATAAGTTGAAGAAACTCAAGCTGAATGATTATCAATAGCAAAATCAAAATCAAGTTCAAAATTAATGTGTTCAGTACTGAAAGTTACAGAATCACTCACCTGGTAAGGGTTGATGAAAAATACTAGTGGCTATGAAAGAAACTGCAGCTGTGCCCTTGTTATTCCTCATTCTTCTCCTCATAAAGTTGATAGTCATTAAAGCGACAATCAAAATGACTGCAATAGAACCACCAATTCCAACAAGTGTCAACAAATCAAATGGAGACGATGTATGAGGGGAAGTATGCCTTTTTGTGAATCCTACTTTTTGGCCCGAAAGATGATCTTCATTGGATTCATATGGAGTTGTATGAATGAATTTGGTTTGGCTCTGGAAATTTTCCATCTGATCGTATTTTATTTCTACAGGAATAAAGAAACCCTTGTTATGGTCATTGAAATTGCTTTTTCCAATGACGGATGGATTTGTCGTAGTTTCATGTGTTGAGGGAGTCTCTAAAACTGATTCTGCATTGGATTGCTTGGTGATGTTGACACCAAGAAATGTTTGAGGAAGGAGAGGTTTCTTTATAGCCATAGTGTTTTCTTCAAAGTCAAATGGAAATTCTGTTGAATTATCTTTTTTTGATATATTTCCATTATTTTTTGCAACTGAAGATAGGATACTAGTATTATTCTTCGTTTTGGACTCGCGAAAAATATCTGGGACAAGTTCAATCATAGGAACTCCTCTTGATAGTCCATCTGTGCTTGTTTCTACTGTTCCCATTTCTTCAACTGTTGTAGAAGATGACCCAGTTGTTGAATTACTGTTGCAATTGCATGTACTCGCACATTGACCTCCAGAATTGCAAACTGTAAACAGAGAAAACATCTTTGCATCTAAATTCTATCAAACACTCATCCAAAAAATGCCGAAGTTTGAGAGTAGGTGGCATTGATGTTGATAACGTTCGTAATCTATTTTGATTTTTTCTATCATAAATATAGGAACTGAGTCGTTTCAACTAATCTGACTGCTTTTTGAAGGAATTTGGAGTGAATTGATGAAATTAACCTGCTGGAAGATGTTATCCAAACTACAAACGATTTGTAGATCTGGCAAAAGAGGATTTGTTTCATGGTTTTGTGTGCACTAACTCTACTCTGGAATGCAGAGTCTTCTGGTGAAATGAAGAACAGTTTACAATTTACCTGCTACTTGAAGAGGGAATTTTTTATTTTATTTACAAGGAAGATGAGACTTTTGCAGACCAAATTTTGACACTGGAGCAACAACTCTAACCAACTCTTATACCTGTTCAGCATCTTGGTATCGTCAGAATGTCAAAATACTAAATTTCCACTTTGCTTTGGATTGTCCGGATAATGTGTTTCACGACTGTTCATAACAACCTCAAACTTCATTTTGTACTTTTTCCCGTGGCACACTATTGCGCTGATGCTCAAGAATGAGCAATCGCGGCACACTTATCGTGGATAATATTTTCATGTCTGAATATGCGTCTAAAATGTGATATTCCCACTCAGCTGAGATACTTATAAACTAAGTCATATTATATATAGGTACGTGTACGGCATTAGCTGGGTTAGTTGTTGTTTTTCCGTTGGGTATCCTACAAAACAGTAGGATTTCATTGGCATTATTCATTGGCTGATAAGTATCGAATTGGATAGGGTAGCATTTTCTAATTCTCAACAAGCTCCTTCATAAGTAATACATTTTTCCAAAAACGAATTATCTACCTACTCAATTAACCAATTTTCTGAAGGTAATAAAAGTAAGTCAACATTATTTGTTGATTCAAATATTTCGAGGCAATTGTGCTAAATATGTAATAATGAGTAATCAATATAAATAACTGTCCACAATGTATGGAAAAATCGCCTCACGCTAGATACAACCTACCTGCACTTACCAGTTAGTTGTTTTATCCTTTGTTTGCAGGCATGTTAGGCGTACACATTCTCGAACCATCAGTCCACCCTTTCGTAACTGTGTCGTGAGTGTCATAGTAAGTTTCGTCCCAATAGAAAATTTGTCGTTGTTCTTGTCTATATTTAGTTACTTATTTGTTCTGAGTATGTGTTACGCAATTCCACGATTCTACTGCTTTCCATAACTGCTTGACGTTTGTTTATTATTGTAAATCTAAATCCTAGTTCCTTTATCCAATTCTGAAGAATTATGTCAAAGCAGCTCACGTTATGTATTCAATTTCTTTCTTATGATTTCAGTTGTGGAAGTCTCATTTTTTTTGTAACAGTCGTATATTGTTTTTTCAATGATTTTATTAAATGAACATCTAAAGGTTTTGATAATCTTGTATCACATCGTGTCTTGTGTTCATAAAGTTTGTTTTTGACTATTTTACGTACAGTTGAGAAAGAAATTTCGGTCAAATCTGATGTTGCTTGTAATAGTTTGTTTCCCTCGAAACCAAACTTGAGATGTAGATGCTTCTATACATTGAAACATACTCTCTGTTTCAATATTCAAATGCATCGAATCTTATTCACTGGTATCTATTTTTCGCATTCTTCAGCCGATCATAAAAATCGGTTAGTGAAAATTATCCAACATGAACCGCCACAGTTCACGTTGTCTAGTTCGGCTTTCTGTGTATTGGTTTTTTGTCATTTGAGAGTTTCAAACATGCACAATATCGTTTACTTCGACTATACAATAAGATTTAAACATGCATCTGTCTCTCATCTTTCACTTTAAAATGTGTTATCCTACCCAACATATTCTGAAACATGCCTGTACATGCATATAAGAAAATAAGTATTTGGGAACAGAGTTTTGACACATTCAACTCTCCCAAAGTACCTTCGAAATTACTATAGACCAGTTGCTTTGCTATCAGTGATATCAAAAACCATGCAGAAAGTCGTAAACCACCATATCCTCAAATATTTGGAAGGCTTCAACATCTTGAGCGATCATCAATACGGCTTTCGGAAACAAAGATCAGCAATCGACCTACTATCGTATATGTCACCCATATTTGGAATATTTTTTCTTGTATATCAATGACTCACTGGAAAAAATCAAGGATATAATATATTGCTTTGCTGACGACAGCACGTCATTCCATTTGGATTCCAAGACATCGGCTACGGAGGCACATCTTCATCGGCAGCAGAAGGTTGCATATCTTAATGATGGTCTAGAAGTGATTTCAAATTGGGGTGAAAGTAAACAGGTTCAATTTAATGCACAAAAATTCAGGCATCGGTTTTCTCCAAGAAGATGAAAGTCTCCTAACCGGATATAATAATGTCAGGTCAGACAATTCCACTTTCTGCTTCGATAAGTTTGTTGGGGGTCGAAATGGTCACCAATATGTCTTGGCACAATCATGTCGCTAGGGATGCAAAGGTTGCTTCTCAAAAACTTGGGAACACTGCTCCGAAACAGAAAACTGTACACATCTCAGCAACTTTTGATGCTTTATAAAGCTCAGATCATACCTTCCACCTGATTAGAGACGCGAACATCACATGCAATCTTGATTGCCTTTAACATCTTAGAAAGGTTGGAGATTTGTCTGTCTTCTATAGATACTTCCACCGGAGGTGTTCAAGTGATATGGCACATTTGATTCCACCAAGAGGGGTACATATCAGAAATACGCGACGGACTGGGGCTGCTCATCATTATGAGGTCAACTCAGTACTCATCGAACTTCGCTGTTTAAAAACTCTTTCATCTGGAGAACTGCGTTTCTGTGAAATAAACTTCCTAAGAACGTTTTTTCAAATTGATTTAATATCCAGCGATTCAAATCCAATGTGAATCGCTACTTTCGCACAGGCACCGCTCTGAGAGCGCCTCAAGGATTTTTCTGTAGTGTTTGTGCTACATAGTAGGTTTTGAAAAATGCCTGCTGGAAAGCAACTTATTTTCCGGCTAACATCCCGCTGGACCTTGATTCATATCTGGAAGACATTTATGCAAGATACTCCTCAAAGGATAATCTAGCAGACATTTTTTGTTCATGCAGCTAATATCAATCGGGGGGATCACCTACAATGAAAACGACTGGACAAGAAGGCATTATTTTCCATTTGAACCCCCACACAGAGCCCACAGAGCTCATTAGGGTTACCAGAACTTTTTATAGTTAACATTAAAATCGGACGATTGTCTAGGTGGCAGTTTGTTAAAAACTACATCAAGATTTATGGTCAAGCTGGCATTTCAAATATATTATTGCCTTAATCCAACGCAGCAAATGGTTGGATCCCACTACTTCAAGTACTGTTGGCACCATTGTTGTTTTGAGAATGATTCAAAATCTCCTTTCAAATGGCCTCGCGGTCGTATGATTGAAGTGAATCTTGGCGCTGACTACATTATTCGTTGCGGTGGAGGGTCGAATAGACCCACTCACTTTGGACCTAACCTAACCTAACATTATTCGTATGGTAACTGCCTCAAACCACAGTGGACAATTCAAACGTCCTGTTAGTAAAATATGCTCATTACCAACCAACTAATTTTCTTAAACTACTGTATTATTTTAGATATTAGATTGTACACAGGTAGTATATTTGTTTTCCTTTCATTTTCTTTCCAATATGCCGTATCTTGAGTAATTTTACGCAATCGACAAACTTTTAGTCAACATAATTTAATCCTTTCAACCGCCTCAACCCAAGTTTTGTACTGTCACTGATGCGTTCGCGCCATGGATAGCAAAAAAGAGGTAATAAGGGGGAGACGAGCTTTCAGAAAAAATATATGCTCAAATTATTGAAAATATCGCAAGAATCGCTCAGGAAGGTTCACCGTCAACTCCGGTGTACAAGTGGTATGCAGGAACTGAATGGATTTAAACTTTACCCAAATTTAATCAAATAACACATTATAAACGGAAAATAACGACCATATACGAACACAGGCTTTCATGATTGAAAAGAACAACATCCGGGCTTTTCGGCCGTGATCGAATGAAACTTCTAGTAACAGTATTCGCAGTCAACTCACATACATACCACTGATGATGTCTTCCTCAGTAGTAAACGAAACGTTTGGTACTACAAGTCACATTCGACCAGACTAGATTTTGGTCCTTCTAATTAGAACAATAATATATTTCTTGATGGAAAATTAACTTGACAAATAAGAAATTCCTTCAAGCTCTTCTTCAAAAGGGCTACCTGGAAAAATTATTTTATCTCTTCATCATGAGATTCAGTGAAAAAAGTTTGTATACCAAATAATTCTAGTAGACTTTCTAGTTCAAGCTGATAACTGTTAAAACCAACATGGGAGTTTGGAAATATTTGGCAATTGTACGTAGAGGACTTGACGTCCAAACAGTGGGTTTGCTGCTAGTTTTTTTAAAATACCATGGGCAGAAGTTAATCCATATAGAAAAGTCACGAAAAGCTGCTGTACTCTCTGAATAAGGCGAAGAGATATCCATCAAGTTCTCCCAAACAACTTGGTGATTGACGTGACGTTCAGATTTCGATCGATGAAAAAAATACATAACGTATTCAAGTTATACCTTGGTGTGAGATTTTTACTGAACAAAGAACTGTAACACTTTGATGATTACCAACTTTTTCTGTCTGAATAAACTTTGAGTAGAAATTGTGAGGTTAATAACGATTTGTCTTCAAATATGGTTTAGTAATAATAATAACTTGGAGCTGTGTGAAAACTATTTTCCGGGTTTTTGTGCCGTGGTCTATAGATTTTCATACCTATCGTTTCATCTAATACTGCGGTAGATCTTATCAAAGGCGATACGGTAACGGTCGCAGTGCCTGTTTCGACGGAATTAACTACGATGCTCCTATTTGACTCAGGTTTTAAATTTTTATCAATGGGCGT